AACAGAATAGAATAGAAAAGAACAAAATAGAATAGAACAGAACAGAATATGATAGAATAGAATAGAATAGAATAAAAACAACGGCAGCACGGTGGCTCAGCTGGTAGAGCTGCTGCCTCTCAGCGAGCAGGTCCTTGGTTCAAACCCCGGTCCAGGGGCCTTTCTGGGTGGAGTTTGCATGTTCCAGCATCAATGTGTGGCATGGAGGCTGCACAGCTGCAGAAAGAAAAGCTTTGCAGAGAGTGGTGAAGGCTGCACAGAAATCTGTTGGAATCAGTCTTCCCACCATCACAGACATCTACACCTCCAGATGCAGGAAAAAAGCCACCTGCATCATGAAGGACCCCACCCACCCAGCACACACACTTTTTGCCCCACTCCCCTCAGGAAGGAGGTTAAGGAGCATTAAGTGTAGAACCACTAGACTGAGGAACAGCTTCTACCCTGAGGCTGTTAGACTCATGAATCTCTAACTAGAATAATCACTGTGAAAAACCATATCATGTTGCTGCTGATCTGTTTCATGTTGCTGCTGATCTGTTTTAATGTTGATGTGTTCATGCGTGCACATCTGCTCACAGACTCATGTTCATGTTTGTGCTGATGTTCAATGTTTTATGTTATGAGTGCTTAGTGTATATTTAGTTGATGTTTTTCTTAGTTCATATCTTAGATGTTATTACTGTTTTTCTTAGACATTTTATTGTTGGATGTAACTGGGACCCTGTGTACATAAATTCGCTCCACCACATGTACCACATGAGGTGCGAATGACAATAAAGAAACTCTGACTCTGACTCTGATGATCTCTCCGTGCATGCGTGGGTTTTCTCCGGGTGCTCCGGTTTCCTCCCACAGACCAAAAACATGCATGTTAGGCTGATTGGTAACTCTAAATTGTCCCTAGGTGTGAGTGAGAAAGTGAATGGTTGTTTGTCTCTATGTGTCCCTGTGATGGACTTGCGACCCGTCCAGGGTGTCCCTCGCACAGTGATTGCTGGACATGGGCACCGGCGACCCCCATGACCTAAAATGGAAGAAGCTGGTAAAAGATAATGGCTGGATGGATGGATGTACTGATTAATGAAACTTATATTGGTTTTATATTATTATATCTATTTGCTTTCAAATCAAACTGAAGAATGCCACCACAGCTCATCGACATCAGCCAGCACAAGAATGGCTTCAACGCCACGCAGGTATGGAGCTAAAGTTCTGCGTGGTAGTAGCTGAGGGTCGTTCACAACGCATACTCTGAGCTGACAGTCCAGAACTTCGGCTTGATATGAACTCAGACGTGGAGCTGAGTCCCAGCTGTGACGTTTCTCACTCCCATCATCATCATCATCAAACCGCTGAGGAGAGTGAACACCGTCCCCCTCCTCCCCCCAGCTGATGTTGCCCAACAAAGACATCCGTGTGAGGAAGTGGGCCGTCCCGCACCTCCTCCCCTCCCACTTTACACCATCATCAATGCTTCTTAAAACACTCCCCCCACCCCTGCACCATCACACACACTCACATCCGCCTCCACCTTATAAACACAGCGAGGCTTTCTGCAGTTTAAACGGAGCGGAAGGTTAAAGCAGACCCAGAGTCAGCCCGGACCTTAGAGTTCATCTCAGGACAATCCGTAGTTAAAGCTACAGGTAGGATTTTGGATCGGAATGATTTTTCTTCTACTACTACTACTATTATTATTATTATTATAAGAAAAGGGAAAACGTGTGGTTTGCACATGGCTGCAGCAGCGTGCGTCTCGCGCAGCTCGTTGTTATTCTTTTGTTCGCGCGTAAAACGTCCGACATCACTCTTTAGATCAGAAAAAGAAACTTTAGTTGATAAGCATGTTTGGGTTTAAATTACATCTATTTATCATCTCGTGCACTACTTTGCTCACATTTACATTTTAACTGTACAAGAAGCTGTATTTTACATGCACATAAAGAAAAAACACAAACAACTCACAAAATTATTTTTTAAAATGTTAAAATAATGTTCGTTTTGGGAGAAACTGTTGCCACAGTTTATTTTTTTATATATTTTATTTTGCCATAATGTTAAAACAAATGGGATGCTGGGTGGAAAAAGTGCAAAGGGAATTGTAGCATTTCAGTTTATATTTATAGTTTTAGTCAAAACTGTTTTTTTGTTTTGTTGTTGTTTTGTTTTTTAGGGGGTGGGTCTGTTGACATGTGTCTAATCCTGTGAGATTAATTTGATCCCTGATTTTTGATGACTCAGGATGTAAACAACAGCTGTTGCTATAAAAAAAAAAAACGCCATGTTTTTTCCCTGTTTGTTTGTTTACAGTTGCAGCAAAAGTAAATATATTTATTATTGTCTGCAACAACAACAAAAAAGTAGGTCTTTGACAGCTTAAAGCAGGAGCCCTTCGGCTGCTGTTGTGCAGATTTTTCAGAACCAGGGATTTGACAGATTAAGTGAGTTCTCAAAGATTAGAGAGGCAGTGATTGTGTCCGCAGATGGACAACAGTGGTGGTAAAACTGAAGATCATGGCCTGGCCTTGATTCTGGCACTTAAAAAACTCACTGTCAAAGTCCAAATTAATCTGTTCATACTCCTCTTCCAGATAACTTCATGACTCTGGTGTTCCACATGAAAACATCTGTGTATTTAAAGCATAAACGTGCATGTTGTCAGAGGTTTGGTAGTTTTTTTGTGTGTGTTTGTTTGAGGCAACACTTTTCAGATGCTCAGAAATTCATCATATCCTCCCTCTGTTTCCTGTCACGATTGCATAACTGTCTCACTTCTGCCAGACCAAAACTCTTCCTTCCCCTCCATTTTTCCCTAAGTATGTGATCTTCTATCCAAAATAACAGGTTTGACCAGGTTCTAGAGGCGCCACCGTTCTCTCATGATGAAGTTACATGTACAGGGAAAACCTCATTAGAAACAACAAATGTACCCGGCTGAAACTTTTGTGTGTATTTGTAATGTTTGGTATTAGTACACCTGTATATTAGTGCTTGAGTTAATGAGCTGGACCTTTGCCCGTTAGTCCTCTCCTTTCAGCCAGGTGAAACTCGAGCTCAGCGCACTGTAGGTGCAAAGCAGCAGGTGACCTACATCTCAGCCAAACTGCTGCTGCCAGAGTCCCAACAGCTGGAGAAATGTGCAAAAAAGTCTGCTTAATATAATATAATTTACTTAATTATATATAATTTATCATTTTATTTTATTATAGTGTAACTTCAGATTCTGTAAAGTGGGTTTGTGTGAACAAAGTTATAAATATCTTACCTGCTACAGATAGCTCTTTGAGCAGCCTCAGTGTGGCGAAGGAGCTTAATTTAGACTGTATTGATAAGCTAAACCATTGCATTGCTGTGAGTTTTGCTTTGTGGGGTTATGCACAGAGAATAACAGCATTAGCAATTAGCTGTAGCACCTTTTCTTTTTGTTGAAAGAGCCATAGGCACTTTCAGCAAGGAGATTTTGAAAACTGCAGATATAGCTGTGTAATACAACGTTGAAATGCCTGAGTTTTTTTTTTTTTTAATTTGGAGCTGATATCCCAATGGGCTACAATAACATTAGCAACAAAACACACATTTATGCTTGGAAGTCACACTTAATGACATGTTTTAAATGTTATATTAAAACAAAATCCCCGGAAATTTAACTAAACTCCAGGCAAAACTGGTCAGGAGTTTGCATGCATATTGACAACAAACACAGCTCTTCCATTCTAGAATAACTTGACTTTGAGAATCCAGATGCCCGCAACAACTCTGGGACAGTTTTGAGAGACAATTTGAATCTTTTGAACATGTTCTAAGTTTCGTCATAAATCCAGTCAGATTTAAACCTGAGGCAAAGAGCAATCTTCACCAGGTAAGATATTGATGGTTCATCATAATTTCAGTGCAGAACCCTACATCAAAAGAACTGTTTCACTTCTTATTGCTCATGTTCAGGTTTTATTGACCTAATCCACACACTTTCTGAAAAGGGATCAGACAGTCGCCTCCTTTCTTTCAGTCAGATCAGACGTTCCTTTTCTGTCTCACATGACTTGATGAATCTCGGCGTGGGCCGGTCTCGTGCCCTCTTCAACAAAGCTCCTGTGGTGCCCGATCTTTGGGGCTCTGCAGACAATCGAACCTGTTGTTTGATCCTCCTCTTCGGCTGTTGTCGCAGGGGCAGGCGTGGACACGTGTGTTTTGGGGCGTGTTCCCGTGTTTTTAAACAGAATTAGTCACCTCTGCTTACTGCAGGTTGCCGTGACGACCTCTCAGCAGTTTTAGAAGTAGGTGAACTTTCTGTGGTTCAGAAGATGGAGAGCGCATTCTTAGAGACTGGAAAAAAACAAGAATGGCAGAGACTGAAAAGTAGCTGGAATGTGTAGCTGGGAACAGTCCGGGGTGTTATTTCGCTTCCTGTTTGTGTAGATGTGTTTTGGTCAGTGGTGCCCCCCGCCCCCAACCCTCAGGGTGACCAAGGCTGGTAGACAAAGAGTCCTCTTAGCTGAATAATTTGATTTGCATGCACAGTCACTGCCTGCATGTTCTTCTAACAAAGCAGTGTGATCTACACAGCTTGGCTCCTTTCCTCCATCCTTTTTCTGTTTTCTCCTCTTCTTTTTCTTTCTAATGCTCCGGTCAAAGTGTCCCTTCCTGAAACGCACCCCCCATCTTGAGACAAATATCCTGCTCTGTTGACAATCAGCTTCTGCTGTTGTTACCTCTAAGCAAGTTTCAGAGGGGGGTCAGAGCAGGTCGGATCACATTTCCTGTCTTCTCCTAGAGCTCCATATTTGTCCGCCAGCTGCCCGAAGGTCTTCTTTACTGGGTTTTACGTCCTGATAGTGTTTCTACTGGTCCTCGTGTCGCTGCAGGTCACAACTGCAAGTCTCTGCAGGTTTTTCTGTGTATTTGCTTCTCCTGCTGTGTTTGGTAGCCCAGATTACTCCCCACCCCCACAGAGTTCCAACAATCTGATATTTTTATTGTCTTCGGCGCAATTTCCTCCCTTAAATAACATAAAACACAAGTTTATCGAAGAACACACTTTATCCCAATCTGGAATTTTGACAAATATTTTTGCAACTCCTTTGTTTCCACAAATCATCTCTATGCAGCTTTTTATTTTATTTAACATTTCGAACATCTCCATTCTGTTCCAGACTCTACAGCTCGCTGAAATGGACGAGATCCAAGTAGTTGAGTCCAAACCCCTGCTGGTGGACAGGGAACTACCGGTATGTAAGCTGAACGTCAGTGCAAGTGTAAAAATGTTTTTTTTCAAAATGTATTTTGACCTATTAGAATAACGTATACAGCAGTAACTTTAGACACCGCTTTATGAAGGTGAGCTATCGTCTTTGACTTAAGAGTTTGCAAAGAGTTGACTTCAGTTACTGATCATTTAGCTGCAAATACAGAATTGTGCTGTGGATCAAACATCCAGTATGAAAATTGGTTAATTAACTGGGTGAGGCCCTAGTTAGGATATGAAATTATATAATTTGTTTTTATTAGGTTTGCACTTTCATTTCTCTGTTCTCTCCTTTTAGGGCCTGAGAGAAGCTGTGCAGCAGCTTGTTGTCAAGGTAAACACAAAAATTAAAACGTATTATTGATCTAAGTGGGTTTACAATCAATGAGATGAAGCAAACTTGACAGAATTTGTTTGTAAAGGGCTAGTTTTACAAACCATGACTCATCTTTTTCTGGTACCTGATGTGAACAGTAATCCCCAGCCACTGATTTCTGCAGCCCAGTCATCAATCATGATGATGACTCCTCATCTGCTGTGATTTTATTTGGACATAAATTGAATTAGGGACCAACTAATGTTGTTATCTGCTGGAAGTGATGTCGCGTCACTTTGCGCTTCGATTTTAAGGTGAAATAAACGTGTATCTGTGCTGTGTCTAAAGCATTGCTATAAACTGAGTTCATCCATCTACTTTGAAATCAGGGAGTCTTTCATGAGCTCCACTTCGATGCAGCTGAGTTTTGCTGCGCACCTCTTTGCTCACTTTCTGAAAGCTCAGTCTTGTCGGACGTGACCGGATCGATTACTTATGATTGGTCAAAAGCAGCTTGACTAGCTGGTTTTCGGGGAATTCTTTGTATGACTACTGCACCCGTATAAAAACTTTATAGGTGTTTTACAAGTAGTTTAAGGTAGGCTGTAAATGTTTGACAAATGATAAACACCTCTTAAAGTGTCGTAAAGAGACTTTCATACACCGATGCAGGGTCAGTGTTAGGAGAGATGATTGTTGTGTATCAACCTCACAAAGTGTTGCAATAAATCGCACACCCTAATGGGGTACTATTGATATATGTGATCAGATTGAAACCCACTAGCGTTAATCCCCACAGCTGATTTAGGAGAACGAAGACGAAATTCTAAATCTCAGTGTAGTTGTGTGCGTCAGAGGACTGTAGGAAAAGAGGGCAGTGGGTTTAGCACAACTGACTGCCTGTTCTCCAAATGTCGTGCAGCCCTAATTTTGAGCTGATCTGAAGCATATAGTGTGAAGAGTGATGCTTAATCCTTTCAAAGAGCCTGTTTGTATCTTGATTAGGACGAAAATTTTGTTTAAAAAAGTTAATTTATACTAGCTGGACTGTGAAAAGTGTAATCATAACAAGTGATGAAGGCAGAATCTTTTTATTTTAACAAATGAAACAGATCTGAGAATTGTGACACGCTCAACTTAACTGTTTGTGGTGCAAGCAAGTGGGATTTATTGATGCTCCAAGTGACCAGGCTAATTTTAATTAACGACACAAGCTAATAACAAGGTATCGTATTTTCTGCTGTACACGTTGTACCGCCCTATAAGTCGCATCAGTCCAAATATGTCTAAAAAAGTGGAAAAATCCATAAATATGCTGCTTTGCCGTATACGTCGTATCTATTTTGCACGGGAGGACTGTAACAACTTTTAACAAGAATTTAACCAGATTAACACCTAAAAACAATAATTTGTTTGCTTGAAATTATAGCAAAGGTGTGTCTCGGTTGAACTTTTATTTAATAAATGCACTTTAATGGTCAAATTAGCTGCATTTCGCCAGGACGGTGCAGCGAAATGAAGCTGGTTTGACGATTGCTTCAGGCAGCGAGCAGAACAAAAGTGGAAGTATACGGCAAGCCGATTGTGTCATTAATAACTGGTGAAGATTCTCAGTCATCCAGAATATGGTAAATTCAAATAAGTTCAAGACAAAAACAATAAAATATAAAGTATAATAAATAAAGTTCAGTTGTTTTTGTCTTTAACTTTTTGGAATTTGTCATTATAGCCACATTTATCTATTACATGATGAAACAACATGCCTTACCACTCTGCTGCCATCTGGAGGCTGAAAATGGTACTGTTAAAAAATTTCAGTCAAAATGAATGAAAACAGTCATATCTCAGCCAAAAATTGGTTTATAAATATGGGAAAAATCCATAAATAAGTCGCTTCAGCCTATAAGTCGCAGGGCATTAAAATTATGCAAAAAAACCTGTGACTTATACTGCAAAAAATATGATAAATGAAAATTAAACATTCCATGTTCACCAGGTAGACAATTGTCAGAAACTAAATTAACTAGAGCACTGACTTTCTGCCCCTGCTAAATATGTTGCTAAACATCTGACATGCATGCACCATCATAAAGTCCAAAAGAACAAATGAGTCACGACCACTAAGAGACATGCAGCGTTCATATGATGCAGCGCAAACATGTAAACAAAATGCTGCGGTCACTAAAGAGTTTAAGATTTGTTCTCACTTTGCAGGTGAATTATAGTGAAAAATTTCCTAACGAACGTAAAATACGACTGCAGTTATTCTCAGTCTAAAGATGGTTTGGAATCATGTTGAAGATAATTTTGTTTTGTTCAAATTGCTTTTTCGATCATTGGATTTGTAGCAGATTTACAAGCTTTAAATAAATACACAATAAAACATGTTTACAATCAGAAGACTTACATCCAATTAAAAAATATATCTGCTGCATCAGACAACCATTCTTCAGACACGTTGTTTGTTTTTGTGGAGTTTTTCCATCTAAATTATGAGCCAATGAAATGAAACAGGATCTATTATTTCTACTGATCAGATTATTTTAAACATTAATGAACAAATATTACTGTTTTCTTCTACAAAAAGATAAAATGTGGTTTGAGTAGAGTTTAGGTGTTCTGTCCTCGTGTCAGGGATCAGTGGACTGAACCATTGTTGAGCTGATGGGGGTGGGCACAATTCTGAAAGGCATAAATGCATCATTCTGCCTACATAAATGGAGGATATGCTTAATTTTATATTTTAAATGATTATTTTAAATTATTATTTAAATTTTTTTTTTTTTGTGGTGTCTGTCTTTGTTTTTCCAAAATTGGCATCGGGGTTGGGGGGTTCTGACCCACCCGAACCCCCAGAATTTCTGCCCAATATTCACTATAAGTTAGAGAAATGTGTGATTTAATGCGATGCAAACTAAAAAAAAGGGAAAATATAAAATCCACCACTGTAGTTGTCACAGCATTCTAAGGCACGAGGCCGCCATGTTGGATTTTGAGGTCAGGGCTGGTGAGGAATCTGAATATCTGAAATTCCAACTTCTAGTTGGTTTTTCCCACTCAAAGGTTTGAGTAGAAATCCAGTAGATAAGGCAGACTGACACTTATTGTTTGAATCACTCAAGAGTATCCAGGGCAGGAATCTGGGGCTAAGCTTGATAATTGGTGACCTGTGATTAGCAAGGTTAACCATATCATGGCGTTTTCTTCTAGCTTCAACAGTGAACGTCTTTGCTCAAACAGTCATGCAAACACATTTTCTTGCTGAAAGTATTGTGCACTATTACACACCCTGCAGTAGTAGCCTTGCTTGTTGCAGGCAGTAAATTTCATCAAATCTGCTTTTGTTCAACTCTTTAGTCATAAAAGTCATTAAAATCTTTAAAAAAAAACAAAAAAAAAACAGGATTCCTTTTTGAGAATATATTCCTAAATAATGCTGAACAGTAGTTGCCATCTTGCCCTCAGTGCATTTTCCTACTGATCATTCAGTCATACATCCCCATGTTAGTGCAGCAGTGGATGCTGCTCTGCCTGACTTTGGCTGATCCAATTTAAGGATATGTTCATCTAGAATTAGCTTGTTTTGACCGGCCTGCAAGGCACCATGGGAGGCTGGGGGAGCTTAAGCCAACTGGTAAGCAGCTAGAGTATAAAGTCGCAGGGCTGAACAACATCAGAGGCTTAGTGAGGGTTAGATCTGTAGCTCGAGGAGCTGTGGCTACAGTGTTGGGTAGCAAGCCGCAAACAACTTCTGCAAGCATGGTTCTGGAGGATTCTGATGTGGAGATGATTGTTGCTGAGATAGAAGTCAGTGTGAGTACACTGCAGGATTTCTTTTCATGCGCGCTCTGTAGAGCCTTTAGAACGTTCACGGATCAGGCGACCTGCGATCGGAGTTCTTGTACGTTTTAGTAAAGATTTCTGTGGACAGTTTGGGGAGGAATGCAGTGAAATCTTTGAAATGATGTGCCCGTGTTCATGTTGGACTTGGAAAAACCGCCTGATTACCTTTTTGTGCCTTTTCAAAGTTTTGTTCATACTTCTCTGTTTGCTTGCATCCACAGGAGCACGATGTTGAGACTCCTCATGGAAGAATTCGCTGCACCATGAAGGGGACTCCCAAAGGAGACCGACCAGTCATCCTCACCTTCCATGACATTGGACTGAACCGTAAGCCCCGTTACTTACTCAACATCTGTCATTCCTAAATCCCCGTGGAGTTTCGATCACCTGTACCATGTGTCTTCAGGATATGCTGACAGAGCTGAGTGTTTCATATTAAGTCGCTTACAAGAGAGCATCTGAACCCCTCCACCCTTCCTCCCCAGCTCTAGTTGGAATGTGTGCCATTTATCCACTGTTCTGGTTCTTTCCCAGACAAAACCTGCTGGGACACGCTCTTCAACCATGAAGACATGGCAGAAATCATGCAGCACTTTGCCGTTTGTCACGTCGACGCCCCGGGGCAGCATGAAGGAGCCAACACCTTCTCCACCGGGTGAGCCACATGACATTTGATGTGTGTCAGGCTGTCTGCGACCTTTGACTCAACAGCCGAAAGACTTAAGGCAACCTAATTTGACAAATTTGTCTCTGGGGACGGGTGTTTATCTTCGTCTGCTAACTCTCGGCTCTGATGCTGATACTTTGGCTCATCTTATTGCTGCCTTTAACATCATGCACACAATGAAACCCTCATAAGAACGAGCCATATATGGCGATAAGACTGGTGATAAGACTGTTTATTATTGAGATAAACACTTGTAACCGTTTTTATTTTATTTTCCAGATACGAGTACCCTTCCATGGACCAGCTGGCTGAGACGTTCCCTCAGGTGCTGAAGCACTTTGGGTAAATTGAGCCTGAGTTTTCACGCGGACATGTCACTGTTATATTCAGGGAATCTTCTAACCCGTTGTTCTAACAGTACCCCTGAAACTTTGTGCACCACAGGCTGAAGAGCGTCATCGCAATGGGCATTGGAGCCGGAGCCTACGTCCTGACCAGATTCGCCGTAAGCCAACATGCTACGCTCACGTTCACGCTTCAGAATTCAAATTTTAATCAATCCTGGATTAGCAGAGCCAGATCATGAGGATTGCTGCTGCTTTGTTTGCTTATTTTGGCAATCTGCTTATTGTTTGAGCCCTGCTGAGCCATAAAGGCCAGAGGAATGTTCACGATTGGCTCAACAATAACACCGTTCTCAGTAGGACGTCTCACTTAGTTGACAGAAGGTCGACAAAGACAACGTTTAACTCCTTCCTGCAGCCGCTGTAGCTGCTAGTGTAGATAACAGTGCAGTATAATCGACTAGACATAGACTTTGCTTTTATCTGACGTTAAAGACAGTAAAAATTACAATTTATGTAAGATGTTAGAGCTGATTCAAATTTGCATGAAAACAACTGGCTGCATTCATAAAGTAGATCCCCCAAAAATAAAAAAAATGGCACAAAGCAGTGCACGACATTATCGGCATAATATCGGTATCGGACGATATTGGCGATAATGTTCAATATCGGACCTCGGCCATTCCATCAAAGTAACTCAGATATAAAAGGCGCCGTTTTGAGACGCTGTTTTTGTATGACAACCCAGAGACATGGATTCCTGCAGCACCGGCACAACGTTATAACGTCACGCGCGCCTACCTGATCTGATCACAGCAGGACAGGAAGAAGAAAGTGTCGGTGGTGTGGAAGTTTTTTACAGTGTCGGAAACTGATAGCATATGTAATAGATAGCATGTCTATTAATGCACTACTACTTACAGTTGTCGCTTGTGAACAGGTTGAGTTTAGATTTGTGAAAATGTACAAATTTGCACTGTTCGAGTGTTTGTCATTGTGTTAGTGAGAGTACATGTCACAAATAAATTTGACATTAAACATAATCCAAGTTGAAGTGTTACATCATTTCCAGCTGCCTTTTTGGCATCTGCATTTGGTAGCAGGTCAAACTGACAAAGACCGTGCAGAAAAATGTAGTATTTTAATTCTACAGCAGAGAAAGCTATGTAGTCTCTGTAAGTAGGTCTAGGGGAAAAAAATATCGATATCAGTTATCGGTCAAATAAGTTTAAACATATTGGCATATCGGATATCAGTCACAAATCCAATATCGTGCATCCCTACAAAGCAGTGAAGAATTCAAAAAGAGCACTTGTTTGCAGTTCAACACAGAATTGTGTATGGCACAACATTCAGAAAAGCTGATACATCTTTATTGCTTTATGCTGTTTTTTAGCTGGACTACCCAAACATGGTGGAGGGTCTGATGCTCATCAACATCAACCCATGTGCTGAAGGATGGATGGACTGGGCTGCACACAAGGTAACGCATCAACACGCACACTCACAGAACTCGCTAAAAGCAACATTTTGAACAGGTTTGCAACCAAATGTGACTTTGCGTTTAATTTTAGATCAGCGGCTGGGCTCACGCCATGCCAGACATGATCATCACCCACCTCTTTGGAAAGGTACAGTTTCAAATATTTTAGTTGCAGCGTCTTTAACTGAAAACGAGCACGAGCTGAGCTTTTGTTGGGGCTTGGATTTTCATCGTCACAGACGGAGATCAGCCACAACCAAGACCTAATCGCCACGTACCGCCACCACATCATACACGACATGAACCAGTTTAACCTGCAACTCTTCGTCAAGTCTTATGAAAGGTACAACAGCTGTTGGACAGATTCAGAAATTTTAAGTTCAGTTCAGATGAAGTAGTTTTTATATAAGTATTTATTTACATCTGCTGTTGTAATGATCTTTCTACAGCCGAAGGGATCTGGAAATTGAGAGGCCTGTCCCTGGAATCAATGCCAGAACTCTCAAGTAAGTTTGAGCTGCGTCAAAGTTTATACAAAATACAGTTCAGAATATGTGGTTTTCTGTGCAAAACTTGTGAACAATTAATATTTTACCTGATGTAAGATAGTTTGGAGAGTTTATTTTGACTTGATTGACCAACTAACAAACAGGTAGCCAAAATGTTAACAAGTGAATTGTTATCCTAAAACAACTCCGTTCTCAACAGTTTCATAGCTGTTAATGCAAAATGCCATTTTTTTAAATTTGCATTTACTTTATGGTTATTCTGACAGAATTTAGATAATATTCCTGTTCCAAGTGTCCTAAGCTGCACCAGAAGTGCCACAGCAAGCTCTTGCTTCTGTGGACTTCAGTGTAAATCACCAAGTAATGGGAATGTAAGGGTTTATTAAAAAAATCTTAACATGAACTGCTATAAACTGTTTAAAAATGGATTTATTTCTGATGTCAGCGAGGCGCTAGTTTGTCAGTCCGGTCAAAACGATACTCTGTTTTTCCAAAGCGAGGTTGTTCAAAGTGATAACATATTATTATAAAAAAAAATTCCACAGAATATCACTTGAAAATCACAAATACTGCTCAACAAAAAGTAATAAAGGGTAAACTGTGAAATAACACGTGTGAAGATCTCTCATTTATATGACAGAGAGAAAAGAAGAAAAGAAACACAACCTGGTTGTTTTTGATGCCCAGCAACAATTCATCATTATAAAATATGAAGTCCAACTTTAAACAAAAAGAAGAATTGTATCACATTCTCCAGTTTGAACGAGTGTAATTCACTCATTTTCCAGATATATTGAGTGCAATTCCGAAATGCAGGTCTGCACTTAATGTAAACAAAACACTTGCAGAGTCCGCTGAACTTAGTCTGTGTACTTAAACAAATCTGAATGGTTAATTTAGCATTTACCCCATTTTTAGTCACTTCGACATGGGGATGCACGATATTATCGTATAGTATCGTATCGGCCGATATTAGCGATAAAGTTAAATATCGGGCATCGGCCATTCCATCAAAAATAACTCACCGATATGAAAGGCGCTGTTTTTTTGACATTGCATTTGGTAGCAGACCAAATTGACAAAGACCATGCAGAATAATGTAATATTTTAATTCCTCATCAGAGAAAGCCATGTAGGCCTAGGAGGGAAAATTGATATCGATAAAATTGGTATCGATTATCGGTCAAATAAGCTTTAACATATCGGCATATCGGCCAAAAATCCAGTATCGTGCATCCCTACTTCGACCGTTTCCGTAGGTAAATAAATGCATGTAGCAGCTGCCCTGAGATGACTTCTGTTGTGACTTGGCACTATATAACTAAGCTGAATTGAATTGAAAAACAATCTGTTATACTAGAGTAAATGCTACTGTCTCCCTCGTCCAGGTGCCCTTCTCTGTTGGTGGTCGGTGACAGTTCTCCTGCTGTGGACGCTGTGGTGAGTTCACACAGTTCACAGAAGCATTGAAACAATGCCTTGATGCCATCGACTAAACTTTTCACGGGCGTTAATTGGAGAACTTGTGGCGAATGTGCTTTCCATTCTCTTCAGGACAATATTTAACAGGACTTGAACCAAAATGGCTTTGGGAACAAAGATCAAGTGACTCAGATTAGATGTAATCTCTTAAAGTCAAGAGATTTGTGTAGCCATTTTTACTTTCAGCTCAAGCAGGGCCACGAACACCATCCAGTTTTATTTTATTTTACTGCATTTAGGTGATAAGAAAAAAACTTTTTTTAAAAGAGTGTGTTTGTTTTGTACACAGGTTGAATGTAACACCAAACTGGACCCAACAAAAACCACCCTGCTTAAGGTGAGAGGCCCGCTTCCTCCCCTCTCTCCCACTCGCCCCTCCGTTTTTGCTCAGATTATGAGCCTTGATGGAAATGCTTTGGCTGATAAGTTTCCAGTGGGTCAGCATTTACTTGGTGACACATTAACCGGAGCTGCAGTGGCTCCACATGTCCGTGCATACACACGTTGCCTGTTCAGACTACGACAAGTGACCCACTTCTGTTCACCTGTGTTCACCTTTTATCAGCCAAATCTAAAATTGAAACACTAAAAACCTGTTCAGGGCTTCAAGGTTATAGCTAGAAGAATAAAATCATTCTGTTTCTCTGCAGATGGCTGATTGTGGTGGCATGCCCCAAGTTGACCAGGTGTGTATCCGAATCTGTTTGTGGGGCAGACTTTTAACGTCTCAGAGCTGGACAATTAGCACAGATGCTCAGGTGGGGAGGAGGGGTGGATAGTGTACGAAGGTGGCACTTAAGAGCATTAACAAGAAGTAGACCCGGGGCACTGTGGTGAGAATGTAATCTGAGCAGCACCTGCTCGAAGCAGCTGTCATATCTCCGATCCTGGGCCATAAGCTGCAGGATGAGTGTCTGTGTTACGTAAACTGAAGTGATTATTAATGACAATAAGACTGATCATCTGTCTTTGTACTCTGCAGCCTGGCAAACTGACAGAGGCTTTCAAGTACTTCATTCAAGGCATGGGATACAGTAAGTATTGAACACATTCAGGTTACACACGATAGTGCATGTCTCCAATCAGATAAAGGTTTCCCTTCAGCAAGAGGTTGCAATGAATATATGAAACCATGAGCGTCTGCAGACTTTACCTTTTCCTAATTATTCTGCCACCTCGTGGCGAGAAGTGGAAGTTTGCTCTTAAAGGTCATAATCGTTGTTCACCACAGTATTACAGTACGATGGAGCTTTACAGCCACGCTAGAAAAAAAGAAAATCAAAAGCCATAATATTACGAGATAAAGTCGTACGAGGCTTTTTTTTTTCTACAGCTCTCGTTTATTTTTTTTCATGAGTCGGATCCACAACGCGACCTGTCAATCAATCCAGTAGGCGTGTCAGCAAATGACCAATCCGAAGCTAAATGTTCCTTACCTGCAGAGAGCTGCTGCAGCCCATCAGCATACCACCTTACTGTAAGCAGGTTCAAAGTCCTGATACTGATAATAATCTGATGCGCTCACAGATTAACTATCTCCTTATTAGTAAAACCGATACCAAAGTATAACTTAACAAGATGCTGAACGTTTTTCATTTTACCACAGTTAATATGCGGTAAACCTGCTTTATCGTGTCGGAGTTCGGCTAATATTATGACTCATTTAGCTTCGGATTGGTCATTTGCTGACACGCCTACTGGATTGAATGACAGGTCGCGTTGTGGGTTCAACTCGTGGAAAGAAACCAAAACCAAAAAAAAAAACGATAGCTGCAAAAAGACTCAACGACTTTATTCTTATAATATTATGACTTTATTCTTGTAAATTTATGGCTTTTAATTTTTTTTATTAGCGTGGCCCTAAAGCTCCGCTATAATTACAGCAATCTATAACTGAAATGTTAAAAAAATATATTATTTTTTCATTAAAACAATATATATGATGTGAGTAAATTAAGATTAAATCTCAACCGTGCAAAAATGACATTATGATTGTGATGGCAGAAGTTGGAGCTAGTTTGAATTTTTAATCCAGAGACTTAACTTTAAAGCTAACAAAAGAGATCAGCTGTGGCCCCTTTATTTCTGGAGATCTGTCACACATTTTGGTGAAAACACAACAGCATTTTATTATGATATAGCAAAGAGAACGTGTTTTAGTTAGGGGGTGCTGTAAACGTGTGTGAATTTGTAAAACCCTAAATACATGAAGAATATCATAAAATCAAATGTGGTGAAATGCACACAGGCTGTATTTGCCTTTTTTGGATAAGAACATAAAAATTAAACTGCATTTTTCTTTATCAAGCAGTATCTGAAACATTGCTATCAAAAGCTAATACTGCACTACTTTTTGTGAGTTTTAGTAAATATGTGCACCGATGCATAACTATTAGTTTATCTAGTAATTGTATACAACTCAATATCGAAGTATTGAAAATTAAACGTGCATCATTCATGAAATCTTTTTTTGTTTATTTTTATAATTCATTCAATGTGTTCAAACATGCGTGTCCTCCTACATGCATTAAGGCAGACATTAGCATCATATGGCTTGAGGGCCAAAAGTGCCCTCTGAACAATCTCTATCCGGCCCCCCAATATCTTTAATTTAGAAAAAAACAATAAAAAACTTTTAAATAAGTTCATGAAAACCTGCTTTTTATCAAAGAAATTCAATGAAATCTAAATTAAGCATCTTGGACAAATACGTCAAAAATCTGTGAATTTAAAAAGGCTAAAACCATCTTCTTAGTCAACTTATTTTTTTGTTTTAATTTAAAGTTATATTTTGCACATTTAAGCTAACAGATATTTTTTACATGATAAAGTTTACAGAGTCTTCTTACATCCTAAAAATTATTGGGGTGACACATTTTAATCAAGCATGCTAACTATGCTACAACAAGAAAAATCCTGAAAAAGTAATTTGTTTAAAAAAAAAAAAAAAAAAAAAAAAA